GTGATCTTAAATCAGCCTACTTCAAAATTCGTTCATGATGAGAAATTCTCAGAAGAAACGCATAACAGTATATTTGGTGCATCTTTTTCAACAAAAAAAATCGAACTTCGTAAAAGGTCTAACATTGACTATCAAATAAATATGAACAATAGTGAGTGTGATCATTCTTTTTTTTCACAAAAAAGCTTTCCTTATACCAATTTATCATTTTCTCTTGATCATAACACGAAGCTAAAGGTTGATAGAGGTCAATATTTCATAGGTGCTAAGCTGGATCTACATGGTTGCAACATAGATGATGCTTACTACAAGTTGATGGATTTTATTATAAAGAACTACCAAATAGGTAATAGATGTTTATTAGTAATTACAGGACACGGTAATTCAACAAATAAAGTAGGAGCTATAAAAAACAATCTACATACATGGTTGAACGATACTAAAATTTATCATATGGTTTTATACTTTCAGCAGGCCACAAAAAAGCATGGTGGCAAGGGAGCTTTCTATGTTTTGCTGAGAAGAAATAAGAATTTTGAAACTACTTTCAAAAAATAGTCAATAGACTATCCATTAGATGGTCTATTGTCTTTTTCATGCTGTTCTTCCATATATATCATCTAGTCTTACTATATCGCTATCAGACAAGTGGTCACCTACTTGGAACTCTATTATCTCAAGTGGAGAATCTGTATTTTTATTCTCAATCCTGTGAGCAACATTCCTTGGAATTTCTATTAGATGGTTTTGTACTACAGTATGAATTTTTTCATCTAGAGTAATGTGTCCTACTCCAGATAATACTATATGGTATTCATCTCTATGATTATGGAATTGCTTGGAAGTACAGCTTAACGGGTTTATAAAAAGGCGTTTTACGAGAAAATTCTCACCTGTCAAAATTACATAAAAAAAACCCCATGGTCTAATCTCTTTTTTAATTACTGCCATATTTTTAACTTTATTGATAAATGACATTAGGCTTTGATTTAAAATAGACTTTTTTTGAAACTCTATTACCCCAGACAGTTGTTTCATGTTGCTTGTTTTACCTAAAAAGCACTGCTTGTTTTCATGCAGTGTTGATCTTGAAAAAAAACAGTTCTTTCTCTCGTTCAATTCTAAAACTGCATTCCATGTGCCAATATCCATCCAATCAAAATTAGCTTCTATCATTGCGATATTCTTTACCTTCTCCATAACTAAATGATCAATAGATATGCTTTCTATTCCCTCGAAGTCTTGCTGTTTAAGATAAAGAAATTTCTCTTGCGGTGTAAAATGCTTTACACTATTGTAGCATAATTTATAAAGGTTCGGGGCAAATTTCTTGACTTCATCTATATAGCGTTTTGCTTTAAAAACAAAAATGCCTGAGTTCCAATAATGGTCATTACTTAGTTCATATGCAGGCTTCTCTAAAAAACGTTGAACTATATGATACTTCTTGTCGCTATCATAAAGAGCATCGATATAACCATATTCAGAATTAAATTTACAAGGTTTTACTCCAAAAGTGACTATAGCATTAGTTTCGCAAGCTATTTGAGATGCTTTATCGATCGAAGTGTAAAAATTATCCAGATTACCTATCAAGTGATCTGAAGGTAGAATCAACATTACTTCATCTTCATTGCAAAGCAGTGCGACAGTCAATATTGCCGCTGCCGTTCCTATTTTCACTGGTT